TGGCTTCTAGTCTGTATTCTTTTAAAAATGTCAATATCATGAAGGTTAAAGAAAGATTGAGAAACTGTTCAAAATTAAGGAGAGGCTAAAGAAACATAAATTTTTTTTTTTTTTTTTTTTTTGAGTAAGAGTATCACTCTGTCACCCAGGCTGGAGTGCAGGGGCACACTCATGGCCACCACAGCCTCGACCTGCTGGACCCAGGCGATCCTTCAGCCTCAGCCTTCCAAACAGCTAGGACTACAGGCGCATGCAACTATGTCCTGCTAATTTTTTTTTAAATTTATTGTAGAGACAGGGTCTTGCCACGTGGCCCAGGCTGGGCTTGAACTCCTGGACTCAGGCAACCCTCTCACCTCCACCTCCCAAAGTGCTGGGATTACAGACATGAGCCACCATGCCCAGTGCTTCGGATAAATAGATATATTTACTCATTAAAAAGTGAAAAGGGGCCAGGTAAGGTTCCTCACACCTGTAATCTCAGCACTTTGGGAGGCTGAGGCAAGAGGATTGTTTGAACCCAGGAGGTTGAGACTAGCCTGAGCAACATAGCGAAAAAAGAAATTTTATCAATCAGCCAGGCGTCGTGACACCAGTTACTTGGGGAGCTAACGCAAAAGGACAGGCTGAACCCAGGAGTTGGAAGTTGTGGTGAGCCATGATCATGCCACTGCACTCCAGCCTGGGCGCCAAAGTGAGACCCCGACTCGGAAAAAAAATAAAATGGAAAAAGAACCCAGAAATTGTTAAACTGGTTTTGGAGAAAGGAGATGAATAAGTGTAGGGTAGGAAAGACAGACAAAAGCTAGGCTCCAGGCCGGGCGTGCTGGTGCATTCCCGTCATCCAGTACTTTGGGAGGCCAGGGCAGGAGGAGCACATGAGCCCAGGAGTTTGAGACCAACCTGGGCAACACAGAGAAACTCCCACGTCTCCAAAAAATCTAAAAATTAGCCAGGCAGGATGGTACATCCCTGTAGCCCCAGGAGACTACACTCAGGAGGTGGGGTGGGAGGATCACTTAAGGCCAAGAGTTTAGGTCTGCGGTGAAAAACCCAAAATTGAGACTGGGAATATGTTTGTCTTACAAATTTGACTTCAGAATGACATAAGTATATCACAAAACTACAAGACAAAATTAAATGTGTAAAAGAAGCAATCTCTAAACTTCTAAGTGAAACCAATGGTAGGTCAAGTTAGCGACATAAATGCACAGAGGAAAAACTATTCAAAGTAACTTTAAAACCCAGTAATTTGTAGCCAGGTGGGGTGTTGTGTACCTGCATTCCCAGCTACTTGGTAAGGCTGAGGCAGGAGGATTGCTTGAACACAAGGGTTCAAGCCCAACCCGGGCAACATAGCAACATAATGGCTAAAAAAATAAATAAATAAAAATAAACAACAACAACAAAAAAACCCCAGTAATTTGATTATACTGCACAGCTGGAGATACTTAAAGACAAAAAAAATGAGCAAAAAAAAAAAAAAGTTAAACTGGCCAGGTATAGTGGCTCACATCTGTAATCCCAACACTTTGGGAGGCTGAGGCGGGAAGGATCACTTGGGGCCAGGAGTTGGAGACTGGCCTGGACAACACAGCAAGACCCTGTCTTTACCAAAAAAAGAAAGCTAATTGTTTCAAGTAATCATACTCTTAATGGTAGCTGCAGGCCCCATTTTGAGTTTGCTGTGTGCGTCCTCTGGAATAAAGTGAATGAGTCATAACGGGAGTGGCAGTGAGAGCAGGACTTGGGCAGAGTTTACGGAGATAATGTCGCAGCCCTCCCAGATTAAGTGAAAATCTTTCCTCAGCTCTTAATTTAACTTAAAATATCAGTAGGAAACCATGGTTCATTTCATCAGAACAGTCCTGGCTATGTTCACTAAAAGGGCCTAGGTCAAATGGCCGAATCTTCGCTACGTGCAGCAACACACCCGGCCCGCGTCCCAGCGTCTCAGCACCCTCTCCACGTCAGAAGCAGGGCTCCGGAGAAGCGGTGGGACCCAGGTACGGGGCAAGATTGCTTGGAGTGAGCGGGGATCATGGCACCACATTCAAGAACTGTTGTTAATTTGGCTTAGGTAACCGGGGAGTGAAATTCCTCCGATGACAGACACCACAAGCCGGGCTCGGCGGCTCAGCCTGTCATCCCGCACCTTTGGGAGGCTGCGGTGAGTGGATGGCCTGAGCCCGCGGGTTCGAGACTCACCTGGGCAGGCAAGACCTCAGCTCTACAATAAATCAAAAAATCAGCCAGGCGTGGTAAGCGAGTGCCTGTAATTCCATCTACTTGGAAGGCTGAGGCGGAAGGATCGCTGGAGCCCAGCAGGTGGAGGCTGCAGTGGCCGGGAGCGGCCACTGCACTCCAGTCTGGGCGACAGAGTGAGACTCCAACTCAAAAAAAGAAAGAAAGAAAGACACCACAGATGCCAGGGGCAGTGGCAGAGCGTGGGGATAGCACTGAACTGTGGAGCTGGGGGCTGCGTCTGCACTTGGGCACTAGTCTGGCATTTTCCATAAGAAAAGTGTTGTATCATCTGCATAGAGACTGGTCTTGATGTCGATGTCATTCTGTACAAGTGAAATGCAATGTGTCTTTCTACTATCAAGAAAAAGCAGCCTCTGTTAAAGTCCACCCAGAAGCCATAAGCCTCTCAGAAGCTTCTGCGGCCAGGGCAATGCCATACTCCATAACTCACAGTGGCTAGCATCGGAAGATGAAAGAGCTGACCACCAACAGGACTGTGGGAGAGGAACCTGGCAGCTCATGTAAAGGCTATCTCACCTTCTCAAATATCTGCAATTTAACCCAAAATGTCAAGAAAATATAACAGTGTAACAATTCATAAGCAAACACATAATCTCATTGAGTATGAATTAGTACTTTGACATAACTACAAGTAATTTACTTTAAAGTCCTCACAATTTTTATTTTTGAAAATGTAAAAGGATAAAAACCTATAAAGAAGAAAATAACAATCACCCAATAATTGAACATAAAACTTTAAACTTACACTTTAACTTGGCTCGAATTTTATTAGCGGTTTTCTTGATTTCTTTGTTCAGATCTTCAAGCTCGTCTTTTATTTCTTTAAAAATTTAAAATAAGACATCTGAGCTATAATATCTAATATAAATAATGTCCAATAAACTTAAATGAAGCAACATCCTTAGTGCATAAGTACTATTTTTGTTTGTTTGTTTTTTGGCTTTTTATTTGTTTTTGAAAGTAGAATTTAACAAGAGGACAGAAAAGCTCCCAGAGCAGGAGGGGACCTAAGGGGATTGCCCAAGTACTGTTTTCCATAAGAAAAAAAACGACTGCTTAAGCCTGAGCTTGGCAAGTGGCAGAGCAACTTTGATACCAGGGGAAGTTCAGTGGAAATGCATGTCCCTGGGCCTCACCCAGGACCCACTGGGCACTCGGCTGGGGTGTGGCTGGCAATCAAGCTGACAAGCCCCCAGGCTACACTGCAGCAGGAGACTGCTGGTCTACACCCCTGACTATGAAACAGTCCACACAGAGACCTGAGCCCAGAGGCCGAGAGCCACCATCCTCTGAAAGGCCTGTCCCCAACCTCCTCTGCTACAGACTGTGCCACTGAGGCAGGCACAAGGCACAGCCACCACTCGTGCTGGAGCTGCTGCCTGGAGCTTGGCTTCTCTGTCAGCCCTGGAGTGAGAAGGGATTCAAGAGCGCGGGTGCCACGAGCGGGGACCCCCCCATGGGCTGCACGTGATGGAGACCAGCTGCTAGGCAAGTACCAACCCTGGGTCCACGGCACAAGGCCTCACCATGATGGGCGCAGAGGGTCGACTCTGTCACCTGCTGCCTTGGCACCCTGGGCACGGTAGGGACGCGACCCTGCTTGGAGATGGGTTGGCCTGCCCAGAGGCTCCAAAAACCTGGAGAAGGTCACTCCCACCCTTGGCCAGGACTGCCAGGGAGACACAAGGTCCCACCCACCCAGGTCCCCCTGTCACCCTGGAGAGTCGGCACTCACTCTCACGCCACCCGCACACCTCACCCTGGAAAGCCCAAGAGCAAAAGCTTCTAGAGATGCCATTCTCCTCCCTCCGACCCTCAGCCGAGGGTGTATGCATGGTGCCGGCAGTGCCACATCCTCTGCATCCTCAGCCATGGGAGAGGCGTGTGGCCACTCTCAGAGTCAGGCTGGCTCCTGGAGCATGTCAGAGCTGGGTCAGGTGCTGAGCCACCTCTGGAGGGAGAGGTCGCACACCAGCGACACACACCAAGTGATCAGGTGTGTGGGACATGTGTTACCCAGGAGGCACCGAGGATCCAATCGTTTATACAAAGGTAGGAGAGATGCAGGAAGTGCCAGTGCCAAGGGGTTTCCACAGGAATGCCCCAGGAACTGGGGGTGGGGGCTGCTGCTGGGTGTCCCACGCAAGGGATGGGACCTGACCAGGGATGGAAGACGAGCAGCCACAGAAGGACCAGTCACAGGAAGGACCAGAGCCAGGATGGCACCGGTTGGTTCCAGGCAATGCAGAGCCGGCCTGCGTGACAGTGTCCTATGCACGTGGGCAGAGCGCAGGGAAAGGCCTGGCTTCCTGAGCCCAGACCTGTCTCCCTCTGGCCAGGAAGCAGCGTTTTCCCTGCTCGGTCCTGACGCCCAGCGGCTCTTCCAGAAGGCAGCTGCTGTGTCAACGGCGGAGAAGTCGCACAACTTCCTCGAAACTGAACCCCACATGGGAGGACTGCTGGTGCCACCAGAACCCCCAGCACACCTGTCACCCACAGTCTGGCTGCGGCGTCATGACCGTTCTGTGGACAGGGTGAGCTCCGACTCTATTTCCTGGCACAGCAGTCCTGGGCCTTCCCTGCAGGACGTGAACCGCTTGCGCCGTGTCTCCTTTCAGTCGGGTGCCACATGGTTTTTAACATTATGGAGGCAAGAGGTAGTGTTCTCTGCAAATCTCACGTCAGGGTGGAGAGGGCAGCAGGAAACGACGGCTATAACGGGCACTCAGGGATGCAACGCCTCGGTGATGGAGAGATGTGGGCTCGCCTCCAGTGGGGGCTGGCTGCGGGCGCATGCTTCTGACACCTGAGACCCAGCCTCGGGTCTGGGAAGGAGGGCCGAGCACGGGAGTCTTGGTCCAATACGTGTAGAGCATGCACACTTGTGCAGGCCAGGCCCATCAGCCACTGGCCGCTGCTGAGGACCGACGTGGAGACAGCCTGGGACCACCAAGCGGGCGCAGAAGCAGTGACAGGTGGGTGAGGCCCGCTCGGACATTCACAGCAGGACGCACCCCAAGTGAGAAAGCCCGTAGCTCTTCAACAGGCGGGTGGAGTGCGGTTTAAGAGGAGGGTGGAGCTCCTGCCTATCCAGGCACAGGCTCAGGCAGCCCTCCCAAGGTGACACTTCAAATCCCTGGGGGAGGAATGGGCGACCGGGAACCCCCCTCCCAGCGACAAGGGGTTCAGATGAGTCCTCCTGCTAAGGACAGTTAGAAAGGGGAAATACTGCTATCCTTGTAAATCTGCTTGCAGCCATCAGGAGCTGAAGAGGCAGAGGAGAAGGTGCAGGAGAGTCCCCAAGAAGAGCCGCATGAGCTGCCCCCACCCCAGGGAGCTGCCAGCTCCCAGGAGGCTGAGACGCGGGAGGCTGCTCCCTGATGGTGCTGTGAGAAGCAGGGTGCAGGGCCCCGGGCGCGCAGCCGGAGCCGGGTGCTGAGTCACTGCAGGCCATAATCAGACCCAGATCTGCTGCACCCCAGCCATCTGCCAGAAATGAGAATTAATCAACTCTTCAAAAAGAAAATACCACTCAGGACTCAAATCATTGCCACAAATAATTCAAATACAAAGCTCAAATCCCAATAAAAAATAACCAAATAGAGATAAAAAACCATGAATGAAACCCCACAAAAACAACAAACAACATAAACAGAGCCAGAGGATACCCATTAATGAAGCTATCAGGTCAGAGGCAGTGGCTCCTGCCTGTCATCCCAGCACTCTGGGAGGCAGAGGCGAGAGGACGGCCTGAGCCCATGGGTTTGAGACCAGCCTGGGCAACTTGGTGAGAGCTCATCTCTGCAATAAATAAAAAAATTAGCCAGGCGTGGTGGCGCATGCCTGTAGTTCCAGCTACCCGGGAGGCTAAGGTAGAAGGATTGCCTGAGCCCAGCAGGTCAAGGCTGCAGTAGTCATGAGCTGTCACTGCACTCCAGCCTGGGTGACAGAGTGAGACTCCAACTCAAAAAAAAAGGAAGTTTTCAGACACAGACATTAAAACAATTACATTCTTCCAGCTCCTTGGAAGGCTAAGGCAGCAGGATCACTGGAGCCCAGCCAGCCGATGGTGGGGTGGCCATGAGCATGCCACTGCACTCCTGCCTAGGCAATGGAGTGAGACTCCAACTCAAAAAACCAACAAAAAACAATTACATCCAAAGCAAGAAAATACAAGATTATTAATTGTGTCAGAGAATAGGACAGTATAAAAAGGAACCAGATGAAATTCTGGGAGTGAAAAACCAATCCAAAAATAATTCAATGGGTAAAAGAGAGGCTCCCTGACCTGGAAGACAATAACTGAAGAGGCATCAGAAGATAAGTAAGGAAGAAAATTTCAAAATAAAATGAAGAGACAAATTGACGGAAAACAGAGAACAGAGGGTGAGAGGCAGAAAGCACACAGTCTGAAATATACATCATTCGAGTCCCAGCGGAGACAGGAAGGAAACCAGGGCTTCCCCCACACTGGGACACATCTGCAGCCTACCCAGGAGGCCTTCCAGGAGGAGGGGAAGTGGGAAGCCACTTGGAGCACAAGCGCAAGAAGTTCAAACCCAAGGCCAAGGACCAAGACTCTTAAAAGCGCCAACTAGCTGACTTTGAAAATATCATGGGCAAAATATCTTTAAAACCATCCAAGTGATAAAATTAAGGAACTTCCAAGCTAGACTCTTGTACTCAGTGAAAATATCCTTCGAGGATCACAATAGAATAAAGATAATTTCAGATAACAACACAGCCTTAGCAAAGGAAATAAAAAGACAAAAAAGACGTCATTTCAGATAAATGATGACCAAGTGCAGGGCCAAACCCTGCCATGCACTGACTGTCCTAATGGCATAAAGTAGCATCCTGGGAGGGAGACGCGTGCACACACATACACACACGCGCGCATCCACACGATGACAACAGCATGTGGTGCGGGGTGGAGTAAGCTGTCCGAGGCCCTCGTGCTCCCAAGAGGTGGTGGAAACGCCAACGTTCACGGCTCCAACAAGTCAAGCACCCGCCGACAGGGAAGAGGATACAAATCTTAAAACCACCCAAAAGAAAGCGTGCAGAGGGAGGAAGATCACCTAGACAGGCAAGAAAAACAAAAAGAGAGAGACCATGGGTTCACCCAGCTGGACCAACCATTCCAGGAAGTGGGTGGTAAGCCCTCAGGACAGGAATAACCCAGCTGGACAGAAGACAAACTCCAACTGGATATTTATTCACAAGAGATAAGAGAAACATCTAAAACAGAGGGGTATAGAAAGATTCAGAGGAGATGAAAGCAAAATATCCATCCCACACACACGGACCACAAGAAACCAGCAGAGCCGTGCCAACATCAGACAAGCAGGAGGAGGCCCAAGGTGTGACTGGGGACAAGACACCCGCGGAGCCCCAAAGGCTCCACCCTGAGAGAGCCTTCTGCTGGAAACAAGGGCAACAAGGGGCACCCCCTTCAGACTCTGTCGTTCAAAAGCGACACGGAGACTTGGAGATCAGTGGAGTGAAGCAGCTTTTTTAATGACGCCTTTGCAAGAATGGGTGTCTCTCGAATGAGCAGATACACCGAGCGGCTACAGCCAAGGCATTTAGGCCCAAAACACAAGTCCTTCCCCTGTTTTCCCATGGGCTGGGTACTCCAGAGGTTGCATCACTTTCCCGGACGTCGCCTACACGTCGTACATTGACTGGGTTACATGATTAACTCATCTGCATGTCCTACCTGCCAACTGGTTTTCAGAGTTATTACAAAATCGTTTTATCTGCATGTCCTATCTGCTGACTGGCTTACAGAATTTCATTTTGATTGGGTCCTGCCAAAGTAAAAAGCCTGTGAAAGGGAACAAAGACGCAGGAAGTAACTCAGCACAGGCATCTTAACATGGTTCAGCATTCATTGGAAAGCAAATCATTTTATTCCCTACACTTCCACTCCAGGGGCACATGCACACACCTGGGCTGGCCAGGGGAGGGAACATATTGCGAGAGGGCAGTCACGGGCCAGGCCCTGAGGGGGACGTGGCGGCAGTGCAGCATCCTTGTGGCATGCACCAAGGGGTGGTCTGCGGGTCTCATGGGGGACAGCCCTGGCAGGAAGTGCTGTGAGTGCTAGAGTCGGGAAGTGGAGACGAAGGGTAGGGGGACAGCCATGATGCCTACAGCCCGCCCTAAATGACTCAGCACAAATAAGGATAGGCATAAACATAACGTGTGCAAGAATATGCACACAGGTGCGTGCACACACATACTGCTCATGCGCACTCACACACTGAGAGGGATGCTAACAGTGGCAGCACACTGAGATGTGGCACATCTGGGGAAGGAGTAAGGGCAATTCCCTGCAGCCTAGTGCACCTTCCCACAGATGAGAAACCTTGCGAACTGCAAAGGATGCCACGTGGCACAAGTCCTTTGGTCTGGTGCACATTCCTGGGAATTCTGGCCAGAGAGCTAAGTAGACAGGTACTCACAGATGGAGTCCACAAGATGAAGGACACTCAGTGCGGGAGGTCAGAGCCCTGGACCCAGACATGCAGGCTGTGTGGGCATGAGGCAAGCACCCCCAGACAGCTATTAGAAGAGCAGGTGCGGAAGACGGCCTGCAGGACTGAGACTGCCCACCAGCAGCCCGAAACCAGGCCCATGGCCTCACTTGTCTAAGCCTCAGTGCTCTCGGCTCTGCATCAGGCTATCCCAGAGAATAAACGAGACTGCCCATGCCACGCATTAAGTGCAGTGCCTGGGGCTTGGCACCCATTGGAAGGACAAGCCAATGACACTGGGACACTGTTATAAGACTGTAATAACATGGGACTCTGGTAATCACCAGCACACCTCAGAAGGAAGTCACCTGCAACCGGAAAAGGCCTGGCCAACATCCTTTCCAAGATGGGCTCCAACACACCAACCTCATCCACAGGGAGTGAACAAGGGTGTGACCAGCTGGCCCTAATGGGGGGACATGTGTGTTATGCTGGGGCCAAGAGCCAAGGTCAAAATAGCAAACAGCAGAAAAGCCACCACAAGACAGGTCCCAGGACACACACCAGTGCAGCCCCAGGAAGAGACACACGTGTCTCACGCTGGAGACAAGATGTCAAGGGCAGCCCAGGACCCACAGCAACACGTGCCGAGGTTCTGGAGCCCTGGCTACCCTGAATGCGTCTCACAGCACCGCCTCGGGCAGCACACAGCCAGCACAAAGGGAGTGGCCACCATCAGCTGAGGGTGCACACAGGGGCCTGGTGTAGAGAAGGCAAGTCACAAGCTCAGGCCACACAAGATCCAGGTGGAGCCGGGACCGAACCTGGCATGAGCGGGAAGGCGGCTTCCCACCCTGCACGGGGGTCACTAGCCACACCCACACGGCTCCCAAGAAATGGCTGAAGCCGTTTCCGCTAGAGCTAAGGGCACAACTAGCGGAAAAGAGGGAACCGAACAAGACGAGGGAAACAACGCAGTGAGGGTGGGGCAGATGAAACGCAAGCAGCCAGTCATGCAGGATGTGCCTCCCAAAGGGTGGAAGCAGGGATCCAGACTCCCACCCAAGGGAGCCGTCTCCACCAGGCTGCAGGGGCAAACCCAGCCCTGTCGGCCCCAGGACCAAAACACGAAATCACACACACTTCACGCCCTACAGGGACGGCTCCGTGTTGGGGAGGGCCTGAAATGCCCACGGTTTGCAAAGGTTCTCTTTAGGAAAACAGAAAGAACAAATGCAAAAGGAGAGCCCAGCAGTGGCCCACAGCACTGGATTAATCTGGAAGATTAAACTGATTTTCCAGAGCATATCAATTTAATACTACGTTCTTATTCTTTCAACGCATGGCCACACTAAGTAATCTTGCAGCAAAACATATTGCTTTCAAGTCTCCTCTGAGATGGGAGGGAGTGCCCACTGCCACTCATGGTCAAGGCTATATTGATGGTCAGCAAAATCAGTCGGCTAGAAATAAAAAGCTGGGGGAAAACTGTCACTGTTCCCAGATGACAAGACTGGGGAGGAGACGACCCAACAGAACGGAAGGAGAACATGAGGTTCCTAGCTCACAGGCAAGGCCATGGACGGCAAGTGTCCTCGGCAGCAAGTCAGACACAGCTGGAGACCTCCGTATCAAGCGAACTGACTCAGAAGCAGAAAACCAAACACCGCATGCTCTCCTTCATGCGCGGGAACGAAACGGTCGCAAAGATGGAAGTAATAGACATGGGGACACCCATAAGCGGGGAAAGAGGAGGAGGCCTAGGGCTCATAAATTACCTATTGGAGCAATGTTCACTCTCTGGGGAATGGGCCCCATCACTACACATCACGACCATGGCACAAACATGCAACGCACCTTCAAGTCTAAAATAAAAATGGGGGGAAAATGATTGTATTTCCATATACTGGCAGCAAACAAATAGAAAGTGAAACTTGAAGCAGATAGGATTTGCATTCCTATCAAAACATCGACCATCTAGGAATAAATATAACAGTCCTGCACTGAGAGACACTGAAGAAGACTCCAAGAGTGGAGGAGAGGCCACTTTCATGGATTAAAAGACTCCATATGGTCAAGATGTCAATTCTCCCCAAATGACACGTGGATGCCCCTGTGCAGTCTCTGGCCTGTTCAGGCCTGTGTCACCTCTGAAGTTTCAACAGCCCTCATTCCAACTCCATGACACACTCCCTCTTAACCGCCAGCTCCTGATGCTGGGGCTACGGAAGATCACTGCTCTTCCCCCCATGAGAGGAAGCCCCTTGCCCAGGGCACAACACAAACTGTCACACAAACTGGGATACAGATTCCCCCATGACTTACACTAGCTCTTTCCATTCTGCCATGGGCCTCAGACTCAGAAGGAGACAGATGTAGGGCAGAGGGTGTGGAAAAAACAAACAGAATCAATTCCTCCATGCTGTCCTCAACAGACAGAACTGCACAGCCCACACAAAAGCTTCCCCTCGGGGTATGATGCTGCCTCTCCTCAGCCGCCACCTCATGTCTGCTTTATTGAGCAGTTTTCTAAGTCGGTCTCTGGTCCACTGCTCTGGGAATGTTAGGTTCCGTCATTCCTGCTTGACTGTGGGCCTAAGACTCGGGCCTCATCGCCGACGGGACCCTGAGCTCTGTAAAGTCACGCTCACTACTCTTTTCCATCTGACCATGCGTGGGTCCTTCCCTGGCTGAACACCAGAAGCACGTGGGAAGCTTGCAAGACCACACTGGTGCCAGGGGGCATCGGGATTTTAAAAACCCCCAACATGCAACCAGGGCCGAAGCCTGGCCATATACAGTAAGAGAGGCGCACAGGCAGGCAAAACTCCCTTCAGGGCCCGCTACTTACTTCCTTCTGGGTTTGGCGCAGACAGGATGATGCTGTGGTTTTTCTTGACTTCTTCAACATCCTGGGCAATTTTATCGATAGCGTTTCTGATCTCCTCTACCTAGGAGAGACAGGGAGAGCATCACACGGTGGCCAAGTCAGACTCGCTAGCACTTATCACTACCTAAGACGTCGGGGGAAATAAATGGTCACCTCATACAGAAATAAAAGCTGTTCCCATTCTCGTGCTGACATCAGTTCATTTAAACAAATAAGGAGAAATGTGCCACGGGAATATTCCTACCAATCAATATTCACCAGCAAAACCTATGAGGTTGCCAAAAGCTCTACAATCAAGCTCCAAGGACCGGCAGGGGGTATTCACACCTGTAACCCCAGCACTATGGGAGGCCAAGGCGAGAGGATTTGCTTGAGTCCAGGAGTTCAAGACCAGCCTGGGCAACATAGCGAGGCCTTATCTCTAAAAAAATTTTAAAAATTAACCCACCAGGTATGGTGGCTCACACCTGCAATCCCAGAACTCTGGAAGTTGAAGGTGAGAAAATTGCCTGAACCCAGGGATTTGAGATGAGCCTGGGCAACTTAGTAAGACCTCGTCTCTACAACATATTCAAAAATTAGCTAGGCATGGTGCATGCCTGTAGTTCCAATTACTTGGAAGGCTGAGGCAGAAGGTTTGCCTGAGCCCAGCAAGTCAAGGCTGCGGTAGCCATAAGCATGCCACTGCACTCCAGCCTGGACAACAGAGAGAGACTCCAAATCAATAAAATAAAATATAAAATAAAATAAGCCAGGCATAGTGGCATGTACCTGTAGTCCCAGCTACTCGGGAGACTGAGGTGAGAGGATCACCTGAGCCCAGAAGGTCAAGGCCACAGTGAGCCATGATGGTGTCACTGCACTCCAGCCTGGGCAACAGAGTGAGACCTGGACTCAAAAAAAAAAAGATCCAAGTCCTATATAGAAGGTACCAGCTGGAAGCGCAGTACTATGAATATCAATGCTCAGCACGCTGAAAAGTAAATTCACCCCACAGAACATGCAGACAGAGACATTCTCAGGCAAGGCTGTCTCGACAGTTCATACAGCCAAGCCTTCATATTCATTATACTTGGCCTCTAAATGATTTAAGTTACGTTTCAAAGTGCGTTTCAAAGTGTAATATACTACTCAGCAAGACTTATCCAGATGGTGTCATGGCATTGTCTCCAAAGCCCTCTGTGGCAGGCTGAATAATAGCCCCAAGGATGTCCAGGTCCTAACCCCTGGGACTTGCGAATGTTGCCTTACGTGGCAAAAGAAATGCTGCAGATGTGACTAAGGAGCTTGAGGTGGGAAATCAGCCCGGATTATCCACGCAGGCCTCAACATAACGATGTCCTCAGAAGATAGAGTCCAGGCCAGGTGTGGTGGTTCATGCCCGTGACCCTGGACCTTTGGGAGGCCAAGGTGAGGGAATCACTTTACACCAGGAGTTCAAGACCAGATCCTGTCTCTTCAGAAAAATAAATGGAGAAGACAGGAGCAGGAGGAGGCGTGGCCACAGAAGGAGTGAGGAGAGCCCTGTGAGCACGGCTCAGCTCCCGCTTCCTGCACTCTGAGTCACTGTAAACCCGGGACCGCTGCAGGTCCACACCCTCTTCCTGGAGCCTGTGCGTGTGTCAGCTTACAAGGCGAAAGGGACTTCACAGCTGGACTGGGTTGGTAATCCTGAGATGGGAAACAGTCCTGGATTATCTGGTGGGCCCATGTCACTACCCAGGTCCATGTCAGGAAAAGAAGAGGCAGTCACAAAAGCAGGGCTGGAACGCAAACCCACAACACAGGGGCCTCGGGGAGTCGGACTAGGCAAGGGAAGATTCTCCAGAGCCCCCAAGGAATGCCGCCTGCCAGCACTGTGGCAGGCCCTGCAGAAGACTCTGGCTTCTGTTACTAAGAGATGCATTTATGTTGTGTTAGGGCACCATGTTTGTAGCAATGTGTTATAGAACAACAGTAATATACATGCGAACATAAATTACATTTTGATGAAAAAATATTCCCCCCCAAATCAGTGACAATACGAGCAGTGATTTCCAGTTTCTGTAAAGCTAATTTCTAACTTGCTAGAAGGCATTCTGACTCTCAAAGACCCTCCTGCATTTAGTGTACATCTCTGAAGAACACCAGCACTGTACATTCACAAGGGCAAGAGTGAAAAAGCAAAGACCCTAGCATTGCTCTGAAAATGGCTCTGACCGCACGAGTCTCTTGGAAGGTCTCGTGGCCTCCTGGGAAGCCTGGTCCAAGGCCCAGAACACACTTGGAAAACGAGCATGCTCAAGGAGAGGCAAACACAGGATTCTGCTTTTATGGGAACACTGAGCAGCTACTGCACTAGGCCTGGGTGTCCTTTCCATTCACACACAACTTTGGCAGGACTTTATATACGTCACATCCTTATAATTAATCACGGGGAAAAAATACAATAAAAACGAAATATTTTTTAAAGTGTTGCTGTGCTATTACAAAGGCTTAAATGCAAATAATGGCATTTTAGTTTTAGTGTACAGAGCTACATTTCGTTCTGCCATCTTTATTCATTTATTTTTGCCACCACTGCAGAAGAGATCATTCTGCCTCCTTTAAAGTGCCATTTATAAAGCAGTTCAGTGGCACACCTATGTCAGAAAGTTGAGAAAACATGACTTTAACACCTGGAGAGCTCTGCAGTACACCCCACTGGTGACTCCGTGGCAGAAGCCCCCTGGGCTCAAGGGAGCCGATGCTGCTGGGCGACGCGTCGTCACGATGGTGCCAGCCACCCCCCGCCTGAGAACTATACAAGACAGCCTCTCTCTGTCCACTGTCAGCCTTCTCAAACGGAGACTCCCTGGCCACCCTCGGAACACTGCTTCAGACTTTGACCAAATCCTGGTCGTGTGCAAAATCCACTTGTTTTGCAACATTCTATGTGATCTTTAAGATCAGAATGTCATTGTCTAAAAATGAGTTCATATATAAAGCATCATTTGCTTCTTTTTGTCCAAGAAGTTATTTCACAGAAACTGAGTACAAAAAAAATGAACTCTTTAATGAGAGAAAGCTTGAGCTTGATGCTGCAGTCCTCCTGAGTATCAGTCACCTTCTCCGTCCCATCCCTAAGGCGCCACAGCAAAGGCAGACTCACCCCAGACAGAAAAGGACAGCAGCTCAGAGGCATCCAGCAAACTGTGGTCTGTCATCTATCTAGTAAACATAACAGCATTTACTGCCAGGAGACTCTTTAAGATAAATACAGTTCTACAAAGAACTTGCATGGAAGAGTTAAGAGTTAAGCCCCCAGGTCAAAAGGGGAAAATTAGAAAAACAAGAAGCCGCCCAGGGGGCAAGAGGCTGAGACCCCAAGAGCAACCACGTTTCCACAGAGGGCCGCAGGTTGAGCTGCAGTGCAAGGGGTGCAGAAGGGCTGTGTCTCTGCTCCTTCCTACCTGAAGGTGCTAACAGATACTTGAAAACCTGTTACCAGGCTCATATTAGACAGTCAAGAAATTCTGGCTGAATCTGAAAAGTTGGCAGCTTTCATATATTTTAGCACACAGCACATGCTTTCAAACCCATGATCAACAGACCAGCCAGAGCGACCCTAGAATTGGCAGCGCACCTGCAGGCGGTTTCCATCCTTAAAAGCCTCTAGAAGTTCAAGACCCGCCTGGGCAACTTGGCGAGATCTCATCTCTACAATAAATCAAAAATTAGCCGGGCGTGGTAGCGCACGCCTGTAGTTCCAGCTACTTGGAAGGCTGAGGCGGAAGGATTGCCGGAGACCAGCAGGTAGAGGCTGCAGTGGCCGGGAGCGGACACTGCACTCCAGTCTGGGAGACAGAGTGAGACTCCAACTCAAAAAAAAAAAAAAAAAGCCTCTAGACATGCATTTCTTCTCCTCATGTCCACAAAGTCCAAGCATTTGTTCCATGACTTGATGTTAAAAGTTGGAACTCCACAGAACCAGATCAAGGATCCTGGTGTGTGATGTGGACAGGCCTCAGCCCCAGGGGAGGCTAGGAAAGAGCGGGAGAGGCAGCCTAGCGAGGAGGGGCCTGGGGTGGGCTCACAACAGGACACATTCCAAGTCTCTGTCGCCCATCGCCGGGCAAACACACAGAACCAACTCCCGCTCTCAAGCGCGAGCCTCCGGCCTGCCTGCCCCCACTGTGGGGCCAGCACCAGCAGGGCCCACCTGGGAGCCATACACCTGGCCCCGCAGCCGTGCCGCCAGGTACTGCCAGGGGCCAGGACTGCCACCTCCGAAGGCCAGGGAGCCCCACGTCCTGCAGCGCCTGGCCTGGGAGTGAGGACCTGGGTGACAGGACTTGGGAGGCCTGCAGTGGAGGACACCAGCTCCCAGTCACAGAGACATGTGCCCGTCGGCAGACAGGATGCCCGCAGGATACCCCACCAGTGCCACCTCCCACGGGGTGCTGCCTTCTATGTCCAACCGCACCTTTCACCCCAGCAGGGCTCGGGGGCATCGATGTGCATCTTCCTCCATATCAATTCATACTGTGATAGTGCTAAAAATCCCAGAGAATGTCCATAATTCAACAGCAACTCTTTTTGTTTTTGTTTTTGTTTTGAGTTGGAGTCTCACTGTCGCCCAGACTGGAGTGCAGTGGCCGCTCCCAGCCACCGCAGCCTCGACCTGCTGGGCTCTGGCAATCCTTCCGCCTCAGCCTTCCGAGTAGCCAGAATTACAGGCGTGCGCTACCACGCCCGGCTAATTTTTTTTGGTGTATTGTAGAGATGAGGTCTCACCAAGTTGCCCAGGTGGGTCTCGAACCTGCTGGCTCAGGCAATCCACTCACCTCAGCCCCCCAAGACGCGAGATTACTGGCTGAGCTACGGAGCCCGGCTAACAGCAACTCTTTAAAGATGCGTGTCAGTGGGTGTCATTTCAAATATGATGAGTGCACGCCCATGTTACTAGAACTACACTGGAGGAAGGCCGACCCAGCTGGCGCCGCGGGGGCCTCACCTGATGGAAGAAGTCGTCCATGAAGTGGTCCTTTTCCACGACAACAGCAGTATCTCCATCGTCAATTTTCCTACACTGAAATGGAAACATGAAACGCAAACGTCAGACCTTTAAAATGTTTATGAAGACACAAATAGCGTCTATCACTGGCTGAGAAAATCAACCCCAGCAACACCACAGGTGACAGTCACATGGGGGGGTGGCAGGGCAGGGGAGAGGCGAGATGGGGACGGCCCAGGCAGGGCGGGAAGTGGACGGCCCAAGGAGGAAGAGACGGGGGACGGCCCAGACAAGGGAGAGGGTGACAGCCCGAGGAGGAGGGAGGGAGAATGGCCGGAGGGAGGGGGAAACTGCCTGAATAGGAGGGAAGGGGGACAGCCAGGGCAAGAGGGAGGGGGGATGGCCCAGAGAGGGGGGAAGGTGAACAGCCCTAGAAGGAGGGAGGGGGGATGGCCTGAGGAGGAGGGAGGGGGGTAGCCTGGACAGGAGGAAGTGGGGAGAGCACGAGGGGTAGGGAACAGCCAACAGAGAAGCAAAGACCAACTTCCCAGAACTGTGCAACTCTGAGCCCCCATTCTCACCACATAAGCCGGCAGAACGCCAGCTGGTTTTATCCTGAAGAAGTGAAACTGCTTGTGCTACATATTTTTCATAAAAATTAAAAGCACTGACACCACTTGCCAACTCTCCAGGGGATAACCCCAGACTCTCCTACCCACCCACTGGCACCCAAGTCACCCTAATGTACCAGCCCGCCCATGCTAGTCATCCACAGATACTCAGGAAGATGGTGCACAAGTGGGAGGAAGATAGCAGCTCAGTGGCCCTGGGAGGAGCTGGGGACACAGGCTTCGAGGAATCAGCCAGAGATGATGACAGAGAAGACAGTCCGGGCCAGTCCTTGGAGACCTGCACCCCTGGGAGGGCTGGCACCCCTGGGAGGGCTGGCCAGACGCAGAAGCAGACACTGCCCGCCTGTCACTGACTCAGTAGACCAGAGGGGCCCAGGAGGTGCCTTTTAGCAGGTTGCTGGTAATGCAGACGCTGCTGCTCCAGGACTCTTATCGCCCTGCTAGGTGGTCAGGAGAACCCAGCTGCCTGATCTATCTTGGAAGGAAGTGGTATTGGTCCACAGCTGGCAGTGGGGAAGGTGCCGGTAGAACAAGCCCCTGGGACCTGGGATGCAGCATCGCTGGAGAGACCTATGAGTCAGCCCCATGAGTCAGCTCAGCACAATTCACAGGAGCCCGGGCGGCAGTGAGTTCAGGATCTCTATAACCCTGAAGAACGCGACATCTCCTCCCACTGAAGGTCTCAGGACAACTTTATTGATCTACAACCCAAGAGAAATTTGGAAACAAAACTCTAACATTTAGCTAAGAAAAATCTGCAGGATGTCCTAAGTATGTTAAGTAAGCACAACAGACCCTCCCTCGGTGCCATCCAGGACTCACTAAGGCAAAACCCACTGGGCCTAGAAATCCCCGGCTGCCTCCCACCCCTCAGGGCCCCTCCTGCAGCCCAGGGCCTCCTCCATGTGTAGATAAGACAGCTCTGTCAGGTAGCGGGAGGGTAAGGCCACGTGGTGCCCCAAGATAGGGACGCACCCCTCGCACATGGAGGGCACCAGGAATGTATCATCACCAGGGCAAAAGCACATGGGGAGGAGCCAGCACCCACCAACCCCTACAGCCCACTTTGGACCCCACACCCCACTCTGGAATGCACAGGAGGAAGTGAGGCCACCAGCACCTACTCCCTGGGCACCCACAGGAGCAGTTCCCACCTGCTGTCCCCGATGCAGGTTGGAAAACAGTGCCTGGACTAAGGGCGCTGTTCCTGGGATGTTCAAATATGACCAGCGCTGTGTCAGTGTCACGGCTGGATGAGTCCCCAGAGATATCTGTTGAGGCCCAAGCCCAGTGTCTCTGTGTGTGAGCCGTATCTGGAAACAGGGTCGTGCAACGGTGATGAGCCAAGACACGTCCTGGAGCAGGGTAGGCCCAACCCACCTGGTTTGGGTCCTCGTGAGAGAAGAGGGACACGCGCGGGGAGATGGGGGAAGACAGGAACAGAGATGAGTGATGCATCCACGAGCCAAGGTACCCCAGGAGGGCACCGCCCTGGAACCGGAAGAGGCAAGGAAGCATCTCCCCCATGGGCTCTGGGGACCAACACCCCCCTCCGACTTCTGCCCTGAAGAACTTCAAAGGGAACAATCCTCGGTGCTTCAGCCGCCACGCGGGGTCCCACGCCACTCATCCGTGCTAGGAGGAAGCCCCTCAGCGCCACCTGTCCCTCAGCCAGCCGTGCTGGCCAGTCGAGACTCGCCCTGAGCTCTTCCGCATGAAAACAGGCTCATCTAGAAGAAGGAACCTGCAGTCCAGAGCTTGGCTGAGCCTCTGCCTCACAGTCATGAAATACAGGCTCTGTCCCACCACATTCAGAGTGAGGACGAGATGCCGGCAAGCACTTTGGCAGGTGCACGGCTTCCACAGGCGGCAAAGACACCCACGAAGACCTTTACCACTGCGCCTAGTCCACACGCTTCCCTCTAAGCAAAGCAGCACTTAAGGGCAAGATGGCACTCGACAAACACGCAGCTGAAACTCACATGATGGAAACCGCAGACACGTCCACTCCCTCCTCCAGGGTCCACAGCACTCTAAAACACGAAGGCAGTGCAGGGGCAGAGGGAGGACGCCGCCAGGGGCAGCCACTGGGAGCGGGCCACACTCTCCACGTCAGAGCCCAACCCCCGTGGGGAAGGGCACGCTGGTCTCAGAGCTGAGAGGTGGAGCCGGCACGGAAGCCACCTGTGGCTCTCTTGAAATCACTAACACTGAGCTTTACCTGCTCACAGCTGGCAGGCAGCTCCACATCCCTGGCACCGTCCTGCTCATCTTACCTCCCCAGGCTGCTGGCAGGGGACTGACAATAGCGCGGGCATCAGTCACCAGAAGGGGCCGCTGGGCGGGGCTGCCATGGGGGCCCAACTGCAAACACCCTGCTCTCAACAGGCACGCTGGCTGGTGGGGGGCGGAGAAGAAGGGGGCCTGCAGATCGGGTGTCTCAGGCGTACCCAGGCCGGCCTTCCTCCGCCTCGGATGCCTCTTCTAGAAAGAGACGCCTCCTCAGCCTGCCCTGCCTGGCCTCTGGGCCTGCCGCCCCGCTAGGCGTGTTCCCTCTGTCTCTCAACACTCACTCGGGCACCTCATCACAGAGCTGGACACTGGCAGTCGAGGTCCCACAGTTACGGGTCCCGAATTCTCACTGCGGGTCTCGGCAGGCACGGGGCCAGGAGTGACAGAGTGAAACAGAATCATGCAAGTCATCAACTGGCTGAACTCACCCTGATGAGCGTGCACGGAACCGAACACCAGCACAGCTGAACCCCAGAGCCTGCGCTGGAGCAAATCCAGGGAGGCAGGAACACACCCCACCCGCAGTCGCCACCTGGCTCCCACGGGCACTGCCTGTCTCACCGCTCAGGAGGCCACTCAAGTTCCCACAGCACCTCTTTCTACTTTTCTCTGTGTTATGGAAACTTGCAAACATGGACAGAAGGAGAAGGAATAACACAAGGAGCCCTGAAGGTCACTGTCACCCAGGTTCAAGGCTGATGGAGCCACGGCCTATCCTGGTCAGGTGACCCACCCCTCCCCACCCCACTCCCAGGGCCGTTGAGACAAATCCCACGGGCCAAGTGTATGCTACAGCTCGGCGAGAGGGTCCCCAGGTACACCCGTCCTGACCAGAGGAGGCGCGCTCCCGCCCTCCCTGCCACATTCCTTGTGACTGCACTCCATGCAGTGACACCAGTGGGCAATCCCAGAACTCACTTTCCTTGACCCTGAGATCCACGCCACAGGCCGTGGACACAGAGTCACTCACCAGCCGGTCAAGAATGTGCTTCTCTGCCTGTAAACCAAGAAAGAGCCCAAAGGCTGGGAATTTGCGTTCTGTTGTCTGATTTCTTATTCTTCTTTGTAAAGGCTTACTTGGCAGCGTATGGACCATAAATAACAAAGCTACCTGTGGCAAACTCGTACTAAAAGCACAGAGAAGACTCTCCCATGTAAAACACTTGATTTCCAAAGTGTCAAAGTGCAGGATAAACATGTATCACCACTGTGTTTCTGTTACATGCTAAAAGAATTCTCCTTCAAAGTAGCATTAAAGTAAAAATACCATTTCCCCCCATCCCCTGCCCCCCGTGGACCATCAGGACAGGAGCAGTGACGTCCTGGGGCCTTAGCCCTGCAGAGTGGCTGTTCCATCTTGATCTACCTGCAAGCTAAGAGGGGCTCCACTCCTCTCCCTGGGCTGCGGGCACCCACGGCCCACGCTCACTCCTGGCTGTCTCTCTGTACCAAGCATATCACCTGGGAGAGACCTAGAGCTCAAGCCACCTGTGGGATGGGTGGGTCTTCTATCTTCAGCAAATCAGAAGTATCTTTCTGGATTTAGTATCTAAGAGAACTTGGGCAAGTCACTTAAACTCTCCAGGCCCAGAAGACTGATTGTTCAAAAAGAGAATCACTGGTTAGAAGAAACGACATCTGTCAACACAAGACCTGTCAACACAGGGTATGAGGGCCATCTGTGGTGATGTGTGGCACCCCACTGATCACCAGGGCTGATCTGGCTGTCGAGGCAGGGGTCCCTGTCCTCTCTCACCACTCCGGTGTGTCCCTTCTAAGTGTGTGCTGGTCGAAGCAGACACCCGTCCTGCTAGGGGAGGATTGTTCTCGGCGGATGGGCTCCCCGGCTGGAACCTCCAAGCAAGCGCTCCAACTCCATCGATACAGACTGCACCGGACACACTGATTGCTAAGTCCTTTCCATGCAGATGTCAGTGTCCTTTTTCTCAGAAGGCAGCATCAACCTCCAATACAGGACACTTTTTGGAAGCACCTCAAAAAGTGGACACTGAAGAGGAAGCATTTTAACTGCCAAAATTAAATATTAAACTTTGCCTACAAAAAACACCAACCATTTAGAAACATGGTAGTGAAGAGACACTCATCTACTCCAAGAAGTACTTGGAAAAAATACATTTCCTAAAAA